CTCTCTCTCATCATCATCACGGTGGCTAGGAGATGTTAACTACCTCGCCTGGTATGCAGGAGGTCGTGGGTTCGATCCCGATCTTGACGCCTGCTGAAGATTTCGAGTTTGCGGTGTGGATTTCTTTCCGTCTGCTCCGACTTTTTCTCTCCACATTTGAAATAACGCGTCACGCGTTCAGAGTGTTTGGCTGCGATACGTTTCCACGTGATGACGATGATGATGATGATGACGACCACGTGGACCCACTTTCGTTGGGCTATCATTTGTGACAGCCAGGTCTAGAAAGAGCTACACGGCTCAGTGCGGTAAAATACAAAAAAAATACAAAAATAAAAGTATGAAGAACGCCGAAGTCGGGTTGACACTGAAACGTCATCGAATCCACGACCTCAGTCGATGTGAGGACCGTTTGTACGCGTCAAAGCCACATTGCGCGCATGTTTAGTGGGGGTTAAAACAAAAAAGAAGCAGCAGCTCACTAACGTTGAACTTTTGCGTTCACAATCGCGTGCGTCTCTACAGGATTGCGTCTCTAAAGGCGTGCAGGCTGCGGTAAAGGTTAAGAAGCACTGCACTATATACTATACTACTATAGACTGTACCTCTACACTACTATACACTGCACTATACACTGCACTACTATACACTACACTATACACTACACTACTATACACTACACTCCTATACACTACACTACTATACACTACACTATACATTACTATACACTACACTATACACTACACTATACACTACGCTATATACTACACTATACACTACGCTATACACTACACTATACACTACACCACACTATACACTACACTATACACTACACTATACACTACGCTATACACTACACTATACACTACTATACACTACGCTATACACTACGCTATACACTACACTATACACTACACGAGTGGTTCGTGATGCCCCTTTCTGGAGGTGCGAGACACGGCCAGATTTTTGTCCGAAGATAAATCATCGAAACACGCAAATTAAGCACGGACACGCAAGCTACAACCCGATGTATTTATTAACATTGTAAACAAAAAGTGTGATCGAGATCCAAAGGATTGCGCGGCTCCAGTAAAGGTTAAGAACCACTGGTTGAGCGCTTTCACGACGGAGAGAACGATGCAGAGTTGTAGTTGATTTCTTGCGGGCTAGGCCACTTTGCGCCGTGTGGATGTTTAGCTGTGACTTCACCCCCCCCCCCCCCCCCCCAACAACACGAGAGAGACGAGTTGTTTAAGTTATCACCCCACGATTCTGGATGTAATCGTCTCACGAAGTACGATTATTTGCCGTTTTAAAAATGAAAAATTTGCTCGCTTTTCATCATCCCTCCGGTTTATTTTTGCCGAAATGAAAAACAAAAACAACTAACCCCGAAGACCCAAAGACATCGGTACGATATTGGCCGTGTATGGTCTGGAAATGTGTCAAACAAATTTCTTAAATGTCGATATATCGAGATTAAAACACGTACTGCACACGTAAAAAATAACTAATTATCGTATTGTTTGGTTCGTTTGGTAAAGTCACTTAGATAGAAAAATAAAAAAGTGAATACAAAAATAATCAAAATAAAATACAAATAATAAAAACCACTAATGTAGCATGTAGCCTGGTCATTAAGTTTGGTGAGTGTACTGGCAGTCTATAATGTAGACTGTAGCCTGGTTATTAAGTTTTGTAAGTGTACTGACAGTCTATAATGTAGACTTGGCCTGGTTCTTAATCTCGGTGAGTGTACTGAGAGTCTATAATGTAGACTGTAGCCTGGTTATTAAGTTTCGTGAGTGTACTGACAGTCTATAATGTAGACTGTAGCCTGGTTCTTAACCTCGGTGAGTGTACTGGCAGTCTATAATGTAGACTGCAGCCTGGTTCTTAACCTTCGTGAGTGTACTGGCAGTCTATAATGTAGACTGTAGCCTGGTTATTAAGTTTTGTGAGTGTACTGGCAGTCTATAATGTAGACTGTAGCCTGGTTATTAAGTTTTGTGAGTGTACTGACAGTCTATAATGTAGCCTGTAGCCTGGTTCTCAATGTGAGTGAGTGTACTGGCAGTCTATAATGTAGACTGTAGCCTGGTTCTTAAGTTTTGTGAGTGTACTGACAGTCTATAATGTAGCCTGTAGCCTGGTTCTCAATGTGAGTGAGTGTACTGGCAGTCTATAATGTAGACTGTAGCCTGGTTCTTAACCTCGGTGAGTGTACTGGCAGTCTATAATGTAGACTGTAGCCTGGTTATTAAGTTTTGTGAGTGTACTGGCAGTCTATAATGTAGACTGTAGCCTGGTTTTTAAGCTTGGTGAGCGTATTGTAGACTACATTATAGACTGCCAGTACGCTCACTCAATTTAATAACCATTGCTACAAAATCTAATTGTCCTACGCCTTCCGCGTTGCCTCACGACTAACAAACAGTGTCAGACCAGAGGACAACGCCAAAATGCGAACAGCGCACAGACAATGAAAGTATCGGGGCATTTATAGGCCGGGGTGAGCAGCTATTATCATGGGACAACTTCCCCCCCCCCCCAACACGTACATTGAACTTCTTTCGCACCGTACCATAGCCAACCGCGCTCATCGGAGGGGCCCATGACGTGAAGAACTTGACTTGATTGACTCTGTCGGGTGGTGGAGGGAAATGGTTTATTTATTATTATTATTATTTAAATATCCATTGTACCATCGATCAATGTATCGATAACGACATTTGGATACCGTAATGGGTGTTTTTTTTGTTGTTGCGATTTATATGCCGTAACTGCGTTTGTTAGTTGGGAGGCGATGTGGTGTGGTGTTTAAATAAAGCATTTTGTGTATTTTTTAACACTTACGCGTGCTTAGACACACACTGACACACACTGACACACACACACTCACACACTGACACACACTGACACACACACACTGACACACTCACAACAACAACCGCCATTCGCCACTAAGTGGCGGTGACGTCACCACGACCACGACGTTTGTACCAGGCTATGTGCACGTTTGAGGCCACGTGAAGTGTCGAACACTGACACACACACTCACTAACACAAACCCTCTTTGGTTCTTTCGGTAAAGTCACGTGGAAAATAAAATCAAATAATAATATAATACGACGTTTCGATTGCAACACGAGCGACCATCATCAGGTAAGAAGGAATGATAGAACACAGGCACGGAAACAACATCAGCATCTGTGTCTGCCTTTGTTGTTTCCTGGAGATGGGATCACCGTTCTTTCCCCTAATGATGGTAATCGGTGTGGCGCTGCAGGTTACTTTTTCGATGGAGTTAAAGAGCGATTTGTGATCGCGGGCCACTGAGGCAGACTCCATCTCCTCAGCAACCCGCGACCACCACCCATCCTTGCAGCGCCTCACGGCTCTCCGAACCTCCGAGCGAAGGCTGTGGTAAGCCTCCTCATTCTCTGACGTGGGATTCTGTAGCCGATGACAGTGGGCCTGTCGCTTGTTTCCAAGCCAGCCTGAACACCTCCTCTGTCAGCCAGGGTCTCTGGGGAGGTCTGGACCGTGTACCCAAAGCAACCATTGCAGCTGCATGAGTCACAGTCCTAAACCTCGCCCATTAACCCTCGACATCAGGAGGAGTGGGGGACGATGCCAACCCCAGCCGCAAGTGATGATGAAATTCTCGCTTGCAACTTTCATCAGCTGGCTGAGACCAGGCCACTATGGGTTTGAATGGGGTCCTGGGTGTACACCCACCACCGGAGTGGAATAATGGCAGGCGCATTTTACAGATAACAAGTCGATGGTCAGTTGGCAGATCAGCTCCACGGTAGGTCCTGGTGTGAAGGACATGGGTCCGCATCCGCTGTTCCATTACTATGTAGTCCAGCAGATGTTCTAGGACCCGGCATGCATCCATAATGTTGTGTGGATGCGCCAAGATGACTCTATGTCGAGGGGGCACTTTAGCTAGCACCTGTGACAGGAAGTCATAGAAGGCATCTGACTCATCTGCATCCCTCCACGGATGTTCGTCTTTGGTGGGGCATAAGTAGCCACGACCACCATTCCTCGCCACTGGTTGATGGGAAGGCAAGCCCAAAGTAGCCTGGGGCTTAAAGCTTCCCACACCTCACTGCCACGCTCCTACGCTCCCTTCATTCTTTTGTTCAGAAGAAGAGCCACTCCCTGTTGTTTGGCAGTCTCCTGGCCCGAGTAGAGGATTGTCCACCCCTCATGGTGGCAGGAGCCAGAACCGGTCCACCGGACCTCCTGAATACCACAGAGATCCAGGCGGTACCGGTCCAGCTCCTGACAGAGGAGTGGGAGCCTCTCCTCCACAGTGAGCGTTCAAACATTACACGTGGCCACCCGTAATGGTTTTTGTTGTTTCTGGAGGAGCCCCGAGGGTAAAGATTCAATCTCTCCTGGCTCTGCCAAATGGGGCTTGGCCAGGAGACGTCATAGACACCTGTCTCCCCGGGGCCTCCGGCACAAGCTTATTAATTACATTTCTTAAATCGCGGTTTTGTGGTAATTAATTGAAGGTGGAGGGGTTACCAGCCCCTCGCACCCGTCCAGAGCCCCCGTTTGGCTGCTGTGGTGGTTACAAAGGCCATGAAGGGAATGGCCAATCGAAATTGCCCCTCCCCCCGACGGCACTGCCCAACCACAGGGGGTTGTTTTCGCCAGACCACTCACTAACACACACTCACTAACACAACACACTAACACACACACACTCACTAACACACACACACTAACTAACACACACACCCCCACGTCAGTGGACCAATCGACAGAGAGAAGAGAGTGGCTGTATGAAGAAGGCGCTCCAGCCGTGCCCGTCTGACACGTGCGGTGGGAGTCAAGAGGCTGCTGACACCTCGCGCGCCCGTGCGTGCGCGCGCGCGGATGGGTGGGTGGGCACGTTGGTGGGTAGGGCGCGCGCGGGCTTGCGGGTGGGTGGGTGGGCACGTTGGTGGGTAGGGCGCGCGCGCGTGGGTGGGTGGACGAGTGGGTGTGTGAGCGCGTTCGCTGGCGGCGGTCAGTCACGGCGCGCTACCTCGACACAACGCGACGCAGCTTCAGCAGAGCGGACGCACGCAGCCGCAGCAGCCGCAGCCGCCGCCGCCGACGCCTCTGAAGTTTGTCCCTGCTCCGAGCGCGCGGCGCTCAGAATCCGCGCACGCGGTGTAGGGAGGCGGCGTGGGGGGGGGGGGGGGATCTCTGCTCAAGCCGTGTGCCACAACCACCACCACAACAACAACTTCAACAACAACAACAACAACGCGGGTTCCGCGTGCCCACCTGCGCTGCGGCGTGAAGCCCAGGTGAGAGTGTTGTTCGGTAAAGCAGCGCACTTGCCTGGTGCTGTGACGGGGGTGGTGCCCCTCCTGCTGTCCGGTGTCGTTTATTGGAGAGAGAGGGGGGGGGAAAGTCGTCGTCGAGGCTGCCGGTGAAGAGACGGAGGGACCGGCGGTGGGCCACCCAATTCCTACCGAGTCCTCCCGCTCGGTAACTTAATCGACGCTGCGCCCGGCGTCTCGCTGTCTCGCTCGCTCCGTGTGTGAGCTGCACGACCTTTGTCGGAGACTTTCCTCGATCGTGGCCTTGTCCTCGTCATCGAGCTCTGTCCGTGATGTTTACTCGAGAGCTCGTGGAGTCTGTGGTGCAATGCTAGTCTATGAGCAATGTTAGTCTATGGGCAATGTTAGTCTATAGGCAATGTTAGTCTATGAGCAATGTGAGTCTATGGGCAATGTGAGTCTATGGGCAATGTGAGTCTATGGGTAATGTGAGTCTATGGGTAATGTGAGTCTATGGGCAATGTTAGTCTATGGGTAATGTTAGTCTATGGGTAATGTGAGTCTATGAGCAATGTGAGTCTATGGGTAATGTGAGTCTATGGGTAATGTTAGTTTATGAGCAATGTTAATCTATGAGTAATGTTAGTCTACGGGTAATGATAGTCTATGAGCAATGTTAGTCTATGGGTAATGTTAGTCTATAGGTAATGTTAGTCTATGAGCAATGTTAGTCTATGGGCAATGTTAGTCTATGGGTAATGTTAGTCTACGGGTAATGTTATTCTATGAGCAATGTGAGTCTATGGGCAATGTTAGTCTATGGGTAATGTTAGTCTACGGGTAATGTTAGTCTACGGGTAATGTTAGTCTATGGGTAATGTTAGTCTATGGGTAATGTTAGTCTATGGGCAATGTTTGTCTATGAGCAGTGTTAGTCTATGGGCAATGTTAGTCTATGGGTAATGTTATTCTATGAGCAATGTGAGTCTATGGGCAATGTTAGTCTATGGGTAATGTTAGTCTACGGGTAATGTTAGTCTATGGGTAATGTTAGTCTATAGGCAGTGTTAGTCTATGGGTAATGTTAGTCTATGGGCAATGTTTGTCTATGGGTAATGTTAGTCTATAGGCAGTGTTAGTCTATGGGTAATGTTAGTCTATGAGCAATGTTAGTCTATTGGCAATGTTAGTCTATGGGTAATGTTTGTCTATGGGTAATGCTTGTCTATGGGTAATGTTAGTCTATGGGCAATGTTAGTCTATGGGTAATGTTAGTCTTTGGGCAATATGAGTCTATGGGTAATGTTAGTCTATGGGCAATGTTAGTCTATGAGCAATGTTAGTCTATGAGCAATGTTAGTCTATGGGCAATGTTTGTCTATGAGCAGTGTTAGCGTATGGGCAATGTTAGTCTATGGGCAATGTTAGTCTATGAGCAGTGTTAGTCTATGGTGCAATGTTAGTCTATGGGCAATGTTAGTCTATGGGCAATGTTAGTCTATGAGCAATTTAATGCTAGTGTATGGGTAATGTTAGTCTATGGGTAATGTTAGTCTATGGGCAATGTTAGTCTATGGGTAATGTTAGTCTATAGGCAATGTTAGTCTATGGGCAATGTTAGTCTATGGGTAATGCAAGTCTATGGGTAATGTTGGTCTATGGGTAATGTTAGTCTACGGGTAATGTTAGTCTATAGGCAATGTTAGTCTATGGGTAATGTTAGTCTACGGGTAATGTTAGTCTATAGGCAATGTTAGTCTATGGGTAATGTTAGTCTATGGGCAATGTTAGTCTATGGGCAATGCTAGTCTATGGGCAGTGTTAGTCTATGGGTAAAGTTAGTCTATGGGTAATGTTAGTCTATGGGCAATGTTAGTCTATGGGCAATGTTAGTCTATGGGTAATGTTAGTCTATGGGCAATGTTAGTCTATGGGCAATGTTAGTCTATGGGTAATGTTAGTCTATGGGCAATGTTAGTCTATGGGCAATGTTAGTCTATGGGTAATGCTAGTCTATTGGCAATGTGAGACTAGGGGGCAACGTTGTACAAAATATTAAGATCCCCCGTATAGCCTTTAACAGGCTATTGGGGCAAGTGCTGTTATTATGGGAACACAGTCCTTTACATGGTAAAATTTTCAAGTATTTAAAATATATTTTTTACTAGCAAGTTTACACCTTTACATATGTATACGCTGGCGCTGGGCAAATTGGCGTGCTCTGTACATGTACGCATATATATAGTCTACAGTACTTGACGCACAGATACATAACCAAATGAGTACCTGGGGCGGTGTGTAAACATCGCCTCGAGGAAGACAAAGGCGGCCGGGCGTGCTCTGTACATGTACGCATATATATAGTCTACAGTACTTGACGCACAGATACATAACCAGGCACGTTGTGTGTGTGTGTACCACTGTTAAAATTGTTTAAAAAAAGTGTCTGCCTCAGCAGCAGACCATGCTTTCCCACCTGATGACGGACGCTTGTGTTGCGCCCGAAACGTCGTGATTTAAATTAGTGTCGTGATAACGGCGCTGGCTGCTAATCGCCACGACGCCACACAGGTGTCCGATGCTCGGGTTCATCGTTAGATAAAGACAAAGATCCCCCGTGTAGCCGGTAACAGACGGTTGGGGACAAGTGCTGTTCGCGAGCACCTATGAAGGCCGCAAACGGGCACACGAGGGGGTGGGTGGCCAGCATCACGCCCGGCCGCCTTTGTCTCCCTCGTGGCGATGTTTACACACCGCCCCAGGTACTCATTTGAGGCTGAGTCGATCTAGGGGAGTCGCATGACCAGTTCAGATAACCGTCACTACTGGACATCGTCATTACACATCCACACACACTACTTAGGGCAAGTTACGTTCTATAATATAAACACGCATCACCCATTTATTATATATATGGTTAAAATAAACCAAACCAGCGTCACGACGACTGAGGAGGCGAACGCACAGCTGTATGGGATGCGCGCTTTCCCCAGACTGGGAACAGCGGATATAAAAAAAAAACAATCTTGATTTGACGCTTTCGCGACCGCAGGAATCCATACTCTCTGTTTCTTTCGTGACTTTGCCGAAATAACTAAAGAGTATAGCAGTGTAGTCGATATAACGGGAAGCCGAGGGGGGTTTTTGTTTGTGTCGGTGGGAATATTTTTTCATCCGCCGGGTCGCAGGGCGCGAGATGATTAAATAACGACCCCACGCGTTTTTAACGACCCTGGCATCCCTATGAGCATTTTATTTTATTTTACCATTTGAGGCTCACTAAGATATATTTGGCTATTTTTCAAAAAGCGACCTGGCTACCACAAACGATAGCTCAACGAAGTGGAGGCTTTTCCTCATCACCACGTGGACATTTTCTCGCAGCCAAATCATCTCAACGCGTCGTGATGTTGGTGTCTAAACGTGGAGGGGGAAAACCCGGAGGACCCAAAGATAAATCCACTGCGACCACGGAAAGAGAGAGAGACACCGCAAACTCCAAATATAGAGCAGCAGGCGTCAGGGTCGGGATCGAACCCACGACCTCCTGTACACCAGGCGAGATAGTTAACATCTCCTAGCCACCGTGATAATGATGAGAGAGAGACACGCAAACTCCAAATATAGAGCAGCAGGCGTCAGGGTCGGGATCGAACCCACGACCTCCTGTACACCAGGCGAGGTAGTTAACATCTCAACACCACCATGATGATGATGATGAGAGAGAGAGACACGCAAACTCCAAATATACAGCAGGCGTCAGGGTTGGGATCTTAACCCACGACCTCCTGTATACTTAGAAACACCCGTTTAGGTCATTTTGATTAGTTTGCTGCTGTATATGTCAAAATGATGGCCCACTTTGTTGAGCTATTATTTGTGACCAGGCCGCTTTGGAAAATATCAGTTTATACCTCAGTGAACTGTCTGGTAGGACGGTGATGGTTTCGTGTTTGTTTGTCTTTGTTTGTGTTTGTTTGTGTTGGTTTGTGTTTGTTTGTTAACCTTTCTTGTACCTTTGAACTCCCGTCGTGTTTCTGTAACTGTTTGTTGTTGTTGTTGTAACGTTCTTACCCCACGCCCCTACTGGACATCTGTGAGAAAAGGAGCTGTTATAGCTCATCGTATTCCTCCTGCAGTGTAAATCAATCATTCTCATTCTGATAGCAGCGGGCGGGGTAGTTAACACACCTCCCAGCCATCGCGGCGTCCCCTAGTAAATGAACACGCGCGGCGCGTGGTGGAAATTGCCCGCAGTACATTCAACCCGGTGTCACCCCTAAAGCGAGATGCATGACGAGATGTAAACGTGCTGACGGCGTTCTCCGTCACAACGCTTCGATTGGAGGGGGGGGGGGAGGGCAATGTTGGGTTTCAACAAGACACGCGCGGGCACAGGCAGCAAGTTAAGTTTCACCGCAAACATTTGTAACAATTGCATCAGAATCAGAAGAAGTCGATTTCCCACTGAGTGAAACCGGTGGGGCTAAGAAGCTCGTTTTTCCAGGGCGGCTCGGGCCGGCAGACTACATTTAAGCACTTCCACAGTTACATATTTAACAACAACAACAAACACGATAATAAACGTTTTTTTTTAGTTCGATCGCGTTATTATCAATGTGTCGCAACCCTCCACCACCCGACACGGCCAATCAGTAAAAAAAACATGTGTCACGTTAACAAAACGCCAATTCGTTTAATCTTCAGCCCACCGGTGTGTTTGAAGAGTGGATCCACAACATTTCGAATTTTGAGTAGTAAGACGTTTTGCTGATGATCACATCCAGCATCTTCGGGCGGTTTGCCAGAACAACATCGGGTAAACGCCTATTCGTATTGTTCATACTTACATAACTCGGCACACTCGTCAACGCCAACCGCGGTCTCCTTAAAGAGGAGAAGTATGCAATAGGCGACGTTTCGGACAGTGGACCTTCTTCGCAGGGTCGTGTTGTGGTTCACCTCCGCATGCCCTTGACCGCGTGGTCGCGTCTCGGGACCAGTCTTGGCGTTCGTGTCGTTCG